TTACTCTCTCCATCTTGTCCTAAAATCATTACTCTTGATCACGAACGCAACTGTTGCTCTAGCCCGTGCTGGCCCCCTTCAGTTTTTCCATCTGCAAAATGGGCTAGGGGGCCAGAGAGACATTCATTCAGTGATCCCTTAAGGTCCCTGTTTCGGAGAGTTTTGTGAAATGAGTCCTGTGGCCCACATCGATGTTTTAATTAAAGATTACAGCAAGCTCTGTTTGGAAAATTTCACAACAGGCCTTGGACCCATCTGGCTTTTCCTCCACGGGGGATACAAATGGAGCAATGACAGATGGGTGTCGTGTGATAAAGGGAGACCATCCTCCTCGCTGATCTTCTTTATCATCTTTCTTTCACCTCAATCCAACGCAAGTCTGTCTGGCAGGGTGAGCCCCAGGCTGGGCTCAACCTCTTCCCACAGGGCCTCAGTCTCTGTACCTCACAAATGGGGACGAGCCCTCCTGTGTAATGTGTCAGGGGGAGCAGAGGGCACTGACACTCGGGCTTACCAGGGCCCCCTAGAGACTGTCCTCCACCCTCTGCGAACTCTAAGTTTGTAGCACATGGCTGGGTCCAAGAGGCTAGCTTGGGGAGAGTGTCATTCAGCTTCTGGGCACATCTGAGAGCAGCTTTGTGGCAGGAGTTGATGATCTCTGTGATAAATGGGTCTCTAAATGAGTCCTTACATCATGAGGCTGAGAGTCTGTGGTTAGGAGAGGAAGGGAGGGAGGAGAGATGGAGGTCAGGGAGGGATGTAGGGATGCATCCAGCAGCCCTCGCGCCAGCCTCCCTTCCTCCTTCCCGGCTCCTTCCCTTCTTCCGACCAACATCTGTTACATTCCTATTGCATGCAGGGCCCTGGCTCAGAGGCCCTAGGGATGAAGCCCACAGAGTCCCTGCTCCCCGACAGAGAGGAAGAGCAACACAGTGTGGTCAGCACTGTAACGGGGGGAAGCCAGGAGGTTGTGAGGACACGGATGTGGTTCCAACCTGACCTCGTGGGTCCGGGGGTGTGAGAGAAGGCATTCTATGGATGGGAAGGCTTGCAGGACAAATCCACCAGGTAGAAGTGAGCGCTCCTGGCAGAGGGAACAGCAGGGGCAAAGGTTTAAAGGAATCAAAGGAAAGCCTAGGAAAGCTTTGGGCTGGAGCACAGGATGCAGGGGTTGGGGGCTGTGGGGAGTGGAGACGGACAGCCAGAGGGGGCAGCTGGAGATAGAGCCCAAATGGCCTTGAGTCTGAATGGCCTTCAGTCCCAGCCAGGGGACCTCAGACTTCATTCTGAGGCCCCAGGGATGAGGGTAGGGTTTTCTCAGGGGGGGGCGGGGGGATGGCTGGGGCTGAAGGGAGGAGTGGACTGAAGGGGCTAGAACCAGGAGCAGGGTGTGTGTGGGAGGGTCCCCTGATTGCTCAATGTGGCTTTTATTCATTCCCTCGAGAAGCACTTCTTGAGGGCCTGCTCATCCCCGTGCACAGCACAAGGCCGGTCAGCCCCTCCACAGTGCACAAGCTCAGGAGAAAATGTATAGAAAGAGCGTTGACAAAGCCTCCTTTGTGATGAACCCTGGGGCCGTGTTGGCATGATGCTCTGCTGCCCTCTAGCGAGACCTGGTGATGCACCCCTGCAGGGTCCAGCCAGCTTCTAAGATGTGCTGAGCTTCTGTACATGCCTTCTCTCTATCCCTCCCTCAACTGCAGGAGTCCCACTGCTCCCTAGGAAAAGGGGCGGGGTCTGGAAGTGGAGGACAAGGTCAAAACAGGGTGAGGAGGGGCGGTGGACACAGAGGGACTCAGTCCCAGCTGTGGGAATTTTCTCAAGTGAATAAACACAGACTACATACAATGGTAACAATGATGATGATGGTGGAGACGGTGGTTGCGGTGACTAATGATTATGGGCACTGCTGGTTATTGGCAGTGCTGATTATGCACACTGCTGGTAGGTATTGGTCATGGGGTGATGGTGGCAGTAATGATGACAAAGATAGAGGTAGAAATAGTGGTAGCGGTGATGGAGGTGGTGGCTAAAATGACTATAAAGCTACACAGAATGTTCTTGTATACGTCTTTAGGTGGAAGTATGCACTCATTTCTATTGGGCACAGACCTAGGAGTGGAATTGCTGGGTCATAGGACAGGTATATGTTTAGCTTTAGTAGATGTTGCCAAACAGTTTTCCAAAAAATGGTTGTATTTACACTTGTAATGTGTAAGTTCCTGGTGCTCCACAACCCCACAAACACTTAGCGTTGTCTGTTTTGTTCACCAGAGTATCTCAAATGCCTGGAAGCCTGGCATATAGAGGAGGCTTAATAAAAATCTGCTGCGTGAGTGCTCAATATGAGGGTAGCAGATGTTCACATTCACCATTAGAGACCAGAACCAGAACTTTGCTCCTGCTTGTAGACATCCAGTGATGGCCACATTTGGATCCAGGTTGGCAGCCTGGTGTAAAAGTCCTGACCAAACAGCTCATCACACCCCAGAGTGTGCACATGTCCCTTGTCTCTGCACTTTTCTCAAAATCCCTTCAGTGTGGCTCCCCTCACTCCAGTTTGAAGAGGAACAGCAATCTGATCAAACCAATGCACACTAAGATGTGAGTGACTCATAGTCCTTAACCCTTTTAAGGGCATTTAAAGGAGCAACTCGTTCACTTACTGGGGTTTACGGCATGAAAAAAAGGCAACCTGCCACAGCAGACAGCAAAGAACTTAGAGTTCCTGGTTTTGGATTTAAACTCTCTCAGTTTGGCCACTTACAGCTATTTTCTCCTTAGACAACTTCCCCTGCCTATCTCTAGTTTCCTGTTATGTTTTATTTTGTTTTCATTTGAAAAACAGGAATGGTAATTCTTGTCCTATCCACCTCAAGGATTCAAAAAATATAATAGATTAAGGAACTTCAGAGTTGAAAAGACTCTTGGAGATCAACTAGGGATTTTTATTTTTGCTTTTAAATAATTCTTTACAATATATGAATCACTTTCAATTATAGTTTCACTGAAATCACAGAACTATATAAAATAAGGGCAGGATCATTAATCTCTTTTCGTAGGAAGGAAACAAGCTAAAGGGGGAAATGACTTGCCCAGGGCTCTGCGGTTTGTTAGTGGCAGAGCTGGAGGCAGTGGCTCTTTGCTCTACCTAATTCTCCCTGCAGATCTAGCTAGAAGGCCCTATAAAACCAAAAGGTCAACTGGGCTCTTGCTTGCATGCCTCCAGTGCATGGGGAACTCACTGCCACCCAAGATAAATCATTTGCTACTTGGGTGGCTCTGATAGTTGGCTGTCATTTGTGGTGGTATAGAGCATGTTTCATCAAGAGGGGGTGATAATTAGAGCTTTCATTCTAATGTTTCTTTGAAGGAAGAGGAATTTACAGAAATATTCAGAGAACATGCAGAGATAGCCAGAATGGCAATAATTATAACAATCGATACCTACTGATGGTGTCACTTCCCTGTTGGTAACCCTTCATTGGCTTCCTGATTCTCCGAGGAATGAGTCCAGATTCTTTGATGTGCCTTTCGTGAGCTGAGTCCAGCCTCAAACCAGCTCTCAATGCCACACACATCTCCCCACCCCATCCTGGCCTTCCTGCAGGATGTTCCCTCTGCCTGGAACACCCTCACCCACCACTCTCACCTCCCTGCTCCTACAGGCCTCTGAATCCCACCCCCTCCTCCAAACCCCTGCACATCTGATTGCACTTACCTGTCTCCGTAGCACGACTATGAGCTTGGAAGGGGCAGGATCTGCATGTGATTCCTCCACCCGGTGCCCTGCATGAAGAATGGCACTGAACGGGTGATTGCCCCGGCCCAGCATATTCACAGACATCTCTGCTGCTCTCATCAGCCAGGCCAGGAGAGAGTTAAACAACCTCCCTGGCCTTGGATCAGCTCTGGCATTGGAGAGGCAGGTGGCCCAAAGTTTAACCAGATGCTTCAGAGCATGTTGTCAGCTCAGCTCAAGGAATTCAATCCAGCCACATCTTCCTGGAACTGAGACCTGGGCCCCTCCCACCCCTCTAGACCCCTTTCCCCTCCCGGGGCTCTGAGCCAGAGGAAGCTGGAACTGCTGGGGAGGGGTAAGGTGGGGAGGAAGATTACAAAACTGGAGGAGTAGGCGGAGAAAGTAGGAAGAGCCTGGTTCATGCTCTGCCCAGACTTGCTGTGTGGCCTTGGCTGAGTCCTTCCCATCCCGGCCTCAGTTTCCCCATCTGTGCACAGAGAGGGCTGGTCTGGGTGGTCCCTCCTGATGGGACTGGCCAAGGGCAAGTGATCCTCAGACTCCAGAGTCCCCTAGCTACAGACTCTCTCCACCACAGAGGTGGCGGTGGGTAAATCTTTAACTAGCTAGCCCTGGGCAGGCCCAGCCTTTCCGGATGGATGGCTGCCTGGGAAAGGGGGGGATGAGGGTGGAGGATGTAAGGTGTGTATAGCCAGTCCCAGTGTGGTGAAGGGGGAGGGTACTGGGGAGGGAAAAGAACGAGACTCGGGCGGAGCTAACCCGTGTGCAAAGCAGAACATGGAGGAACGCGGGTCCCCCGACGGGTAAGTACAGATTTAGGGAGGTTCAAGGAGCCGCTGGCGCAGGGATGGTTAACTCGCGTTGCTGCCACAGGGACCCCGCGCGGAACCTGGAGCAGGGGCCGGAGGGGCCAGAAACGCCCATCCAGGTGGTGCTCAGGTGGGTATAGGTTGGCTAGGAGGGGTCCAAGCGAGGAAGGCACTGATGGAGATTTCAGGATGGACCATCCACCCCCTCCCCGCCTCTTCGGACCACAGGGTGCGTCCCATGAGCGCGGCGGAGCTGCGTCGCGGGGAGCAGAGCGTGCTGCACTGCTCAGGGACCCGGACTCTGCAGGTGAGGACCTCCCCCGCACTCCCCAAAAAACACCTACCGGGAAGACGCCAGGTCCCTCCAGGCCAATTTCCCCAAGGCCCCGCACTCCCCCAGGTGAGCCCCGCCCTCCCCAGAGTGCCCCGCCCCCTTCTCCACGGCCCCCTCTCCCAGGTGAGCCCCCCGGGCGGGGGCCCCGACGTGGCGTTCCGCTTCGGCGCAGTGCTGGACGGGGCGCGCACGCAAGAAGACGTGTTCCGGGCCTGCGGCGTGCGGCGCCTGGGCGACCTGGCGCTGCGCGGGTGAGTGAGGCCTGGTGATGCCCCGCCCCCACACAGCCCC